GGTTTGGGGCTGTCAATTTCCCGTTTGTAATCTAAAATGACTGAAAATTGCAAACTTCGCAAGGCTATATTTTCCGCATTTTACAACATTTCGCAACGGAACTTTGGAATGTTACTAATTTTGTGATGCTCTTTCAAGCTGTGATGAAATTTTTGTTGAGATCAAAACTTAGTCTATTATGCAAGTGGTCAATTCGGTGTCTGCTAATTAGAGGTGACCATTGGTAGAGTGCCCATTATAGATTCGCTTGTATTTAATCTTAAATTTGAAAGAAGCGGTTAGCTGAATCCCCTGTGCAAAGCCATGAATGGAATAATGACAACGTCACTAGAGTTTCTTCTTTTTCGTATATTTAGGATGAAGTGGAGTACGTTGCAGACGAAGATTTTGAAGAAAGTGATGTAAGTGATATCGAAGATTTTGAAGAAGAAGATGAAAGCGATGAGGAAGAAAAGGATATTGAAACAATTAAAACGAGAACATTTGGCAAGAAAGCCAAAGTTGAAATTGAGTATGAGATCGAGGAAGAACCAAGAAAACGATTAAAAACAAAGTAGTGTTGAAACTTCATACAGATTTTGTACTGAAATTTGTATTTTCAAGCATTCCTTTGCAGTACTGTATCTCTGCGCAATACTTTAGACTCCCACCTCTATTAGCCATAATAATTCGTTGATACACAAAATTAGGTGACTTCTACATACTAATAAACTATCTTCACTGTACTTGAAACAAATAAAGATAAAGGCTAGTATTCCAAAGGTCGTAGGTTCGATTCCCACCGTGGCCGGGCATATTTTTCAAGCTCGCCCGGTGTGGATATACACTCAGAGTAACATCACAAACAAAATAAAGATAACGTCGGCATTTCGAAGGGTACCAACCTCCAGAATGTTGGGTTGCCTCAGAAAGGAATATTTAGTGACAAAACGTATTTTTTCCAATAATCCTCAACATTTTCCAAAAAGAATTAAAATTTTACTGAACAAATACAGGGTTCGAACCACAACACTACTGCATATATTTCTCTTTTCACATACTGAATATATAGTAATAAAAAAGTGACGCGACGTGTCAATTGTCATAGCCAATATGCTGCTCAGTATACTCCACAACAACAATGGAAAAATGCTACTCATTTTAGAACTCGTGCAGCCATAGACCTGGAACAAGCAATAACGTCTATAAATAGTACTTTTAGTTACTATATGCCTGGATCGCTGTAGTTGGGAAAATGTGTCAGTAAACCTGGTTTCCATATAGTCATAACGGTCGTAAAGATTGAGTCACAATCTTTCTCATCAGCTGAAATACAACATTTTAGAACTGAAAATACGCCGAGTGATTATAACTAGAGAATACTTATGATTTATATGTGGTTTACAGGTATAAACTATTATAAACTGGCCGATTCGAGACGGAAGATCTCCATATTCCAGTTGAGAAAGATTGTGACTCTATTTTTACGACCATATGGAAACCAGGCTTCAGGTACATTTCACATATTCACGTAATTGGAGAAAAGAACTACTAACTGTACATTTAGCTTGCGGTGCAGATCGTTAACCGCAAGCTAAATAACATTGGAACAGTTTAGCTATCTAGTAGTTAGACGACGTGCTTGATCCAAGTAGACTAGACCGACCGACAGTTCCATTAAATCTTGGCCTGTCCTTTAATTTCTCAGTTGCAGACTGAAACTTCATAGCTCCAGGAGTTTTCTTAATCATGTCTAATGTTTCGGTAACTTGCATTGTTTTCTTGTGATTTTGCCCAAGAACAAGGGACAACATTGATTGGCATTTACCAAAATGTTTCAATGCCTTGTCCATCTTTCCCTGGCTTAACCTGATGGTCCCAAGCAATTGGTACGACTCGGCCAAGCTAAGACTAGGGTCACCATATACCATCATTTTACTGGTGATGACATTTCGGACAATGCCGGCAGCTTTCTCGTGTTCACCATCATGAATAAAGACAGAACACAATGCCTCTTGAGCTTGAATGGTTTTCTTATGGTCTGATCCATAACTATCCTTATAAATCTCTAAACATTGTTCCAAGCGGTTTTGGCTCTTTGTACTGTCATATCCCTCAATACCCTGCATATCAATAGTTGTACTATACACTACATCTGCTAGTTCTGTTGTTTCTGCAGCGAAATTCTTCTCTGCAATCTGGATGCACTTTTCAAACATTTCAACACATTTTCTATGATTCATGTCTCCTTTCTTGTATGCCATTGCCAAACCTTGATAGAGGGGAATCAATTCTTTTCCATTTTTACCATATATTTTCCCAGCATGCTTCAGAGCTTTCTCATAATATTCTACTGCAGCATCAAACTTTTTCAATTTCACAGAAACCTGTTGTAATGATTAGGAATGTTTATAGAAACATGACACAAGTTTACTAAAACAACTTTGTGACTGATAATGTTTATGGTGATTAATAGTAAAGAAAAATGATCCAGCAGATAAAATGATAATTATGATGATATTGGCAATCTTATGATGATTGTGTTGATGTTAATGATGATGGTGATGATCATGGTGAGGTTGATGTGATGGCAGATAATATTATATAGTTTTTGTGATCGATGATGGTGGTTGTTGCAGTGGTGAATATGAAGGTGATAATGTTGATGATAATAGATGATCATATTGATCAAATGATGATAATGGTGATGATTACATTGATGATTATATTGATATCAATTATGATTATATTGATTATATTGATCATATCATTGATGACAGTCACACTGGGTTAATGTCATCATGATACTGATAATGGTAATAGTGATGATGATAATACTGATAATGCTATATTGGTGATCCTATATTTGATCATATTAAAGTTTATAATATTGATCATGATAATGGTGTCAAATGTTGATGATCATATTGATGATAATGGTGTTGATAATGATGGTATAATTTAAACAATTATCAATTTACCTGACCCAAGCAATCCATGATCTTTACATACATTCCTGACATTTTCCCATCCTCAAACTTCAATCTTTCCTTGGCAGATATTTCAGCCTTTTTAAATGCTTGTTCAGCTTTTCGAAATTCCCGCATGAGGAAATTTGCCTTTCCCATAACATAATAGACAAGTTCCATCACAGCTAACACGTCATTACTGTGTGACAGTCTAGTACTGCGATATTCTTCAGCTTCGCCTTGAAGCAACTCATCTCTACCTCGTGTAGCGTGGAGTAAAGCTTGTTGTGTGAAGCCTTTTCGTTTTAAATATGCTTCCCCAAGCTTGCCATATGCCTTAGCTAACTGCCAATGTCCATTTCCATACACAAGTCTGCAGTAAGCAAGGCTTCGTATCCGTTCTTTCACAGCTAATTCAAGCTCTCCTTTTTTATCAAATTCACGAGCCTGTCTTCTTGCTCGTTTTAGCAAATGCAAAGGACGGTTGCTGCTAGAGTTGCCCAAAAAATCCTGCAACGTTTCTTCGCCATCGCTGGCTTCGGACGACGAGATCTTTTGTCGAAATGATACTAAATTTTCTTCGTCCTCAGATGTTTCGACAGTCGGGATTCTTATAGTTTTATCTAAAGAATGAGGTCTTTCGTCTCCGCTGTTTGATAATTCACTAGTTTCACTCATTTCTATGGCGTGTACAGTTTCTTTTATAACTTTTTATCACTTTTAATTTTTAATTTGCCAAGCAACAACAATGTTTACATTTCCAGCTAAAACTCATACGCCAGACGGACTCTGTCGCTAGTTTGTCATAAGAAGTTTTAAAAAGAACTTTCAAATGGCTTTGTTTATGAACGAAGTTAGCTTACTGGAGTTTTAAAACAATGAAAAAAGTGTCCTCTGTTCAAAAACTGTACGAAATCGTCATCAAAAATGAAAGTAAATAGTTCGAAATTACGGGAGTGTGCATTTTGAATGATGTAAATTAGTCAACAAAATACAACATGAAATTGACAAGCTGTGCATGAATAAATATAGACGAAAATAAAATTGTTCATGTTAAATTATTGAGCTCATTTCTTTAAACTTGACGCTCTTTCTGGCCTTGGTCAGTTAAAACTACAAATAAATTAAATATAACCTGTGCAACATATGGCAGAGTCTAAAAGTTTCAGTGTAACCATAAAATGGAGTGGTAGTGAATATGTTGTTGAGAATATTGAGCCTTCTTGGACAGTACTACAACTGAAACAACAAATATGTAAACAGACTGGCGTGCTACCTGAAAGACAGAAGCTGTTAGGTCTAAAATATAAAGGTTAGCAAAATGTTTGGATTTTATAATTATCTATTAATTCTATATAACAGGGGAGGGGGCTCAGGGTGAGGCCATGAGGGGAATTACCGAATTAATCACCCTATTATGGAGACAGGCAATGGTGAATTTGTAAGATAAGCTGCACTGGCCTCTTATTGTAAATGTTTTGAAATCTTTGAATACCAGCACATATACTGTATATTACCTTTTTCTAATTGTAAAGACAGGCCATAAATTAACTTGGTCAGTTTAGAAGGATATTTTATCGACCATCTGGATTCATCCCCACCAGCCAGTTGATGTAAATTATCCTGTCCAGACAGTGGGGGGATGCACCTCCCTATCCGCACAGTATTGGCACAAATGGTAGCCGTTGGCTAAGCTCTCTAAAACTGACAATGTTGTGAATTAATCAAATTATAAAAATTATCAAAAGGACTTTTAATAGTACTGACTTGCTGATGAGATTAGAATTTTTTAACGAAGCTAGTGGAAGTATGAATTATGTTAATTACTGGTTATTATGATCAAAGGCAAAGTTCCAGGAGATGATATCAAGGTGTCCTTGCTGTCTCTAAAGCCAAATGCTAAAGTCATGATGATGGGTACAAGAGAAGAAAATTTGGTAAAGTATAAAACATTCATTGTTAGGACTTTGGTGAAGATACAGGATAATGTATAGAAATAGGTTATTTTAGAAGATTCACACTCTAGAAATTTCTGCCATCTGGAAGCAGAGGGGGGAAATCTACTTCTGATAATAGGAAATGCACTAGAACATCCAAAGGGGGGAGGGGTTAAACTTCCAATTTCCTCCATCGGGCAGGTGTAGATGTTTCTGGAATGACTTAATGGCAGGTTTCCCAACATATATTTTTTCCAGCCAAATCAATAAGCCGTCCTCTCTATTACCACTTTAAACATGTTTGAAATAAGTACCCCCCTTATGTTATATTATAACATATTGTCCACTATCAAAGGCAAGTGTTCTGGCATCATCCAGTGAAAAAGATGGTGGTGATGTAATCAATGATTTTGATATTGAAGAAGAGGAAATTCTTATAGAAAACAGGTTGGAAAGTGTGGGAAACTAAATATTAGCAGTTTAGCAGGTCATATTTATAGTTTGTTGAAGAAATTCTTATTGAACAGAAGTTGGAAATTGTAGAAAACTTGTAATGGAAAGAGCTTGGCATAGTATATATGGAGGAATTATCCAAAGGAAATTATTAAACATCATGACAATCACTGCATGGAGAAATTAGTATCCAGGATTTTGAGTTTGGTTCAAATCCCCATTTGGATTTGATATTAGACACTCAACTAACTTCAATTATGCACAAATTATCTTAACTTCAGACAGCCAACTGTTGACTTCAAAATAGCTACGCCTACGATTTGAAGTTTTCCATTTGCAATTAGCCAGTCTGCCATTAATGCACAAGGTTCTGATAATAAAATTCTGTCTTAGAGATGAATATTTGGCTAAAATCGCGAGACGAGTCAAGGAATATGAGGTCAAAGTGTTGAATGAGCCTCGATCCGGAAAGAAACTGTTGGTCTTGGATGTTGATTACACGTTATTTGGTAGGAATGTGCTGTTTCCAAAAATTAAAGTATCATCGGCAAATATATCGCCATGCAAAACTACAAAGAAATTAGAAATGAATTTGTTCGAATTGTATTTTACTAAAATATGTAGTGGTTAATAGAATTAATTAATTTCTTCCAGTAATTTTATAAATCTGCTCCAAACACGCAATCAAACAGCGGCCAGTCCGCAACCAATCCACATGAAGTTGGACCACATTAGTACATTACGGCATTAGAAAGGTTCAGATTTGATTTCCACTAATACTACCACTACCTGGCTTAGTACGTGTCTAATAGACCTTTCCGTTATGTAAATAGACTGGATTTTAAGTTTGTTTCTCACGGGCTATGGTCAGAGAAGCAGAACATCCTTCGCCAACACATGCATAAAAAATAGGTACGCGACCGCGTACATGTATCTGCGCATTAAAGGTCCAGACACGCTGGACGCGATTCGACAACGCGACGCGATTTTTCGATTTT